GAAGATCAAGGTTATGTGGCTGAGTTTATGTCCCAGTCCCATCACTGGAAGTTTTGCCTGATTACAGCAGATGGCCAATTCAGGCTCCATATCCCCCATTGCTAGAAGTCATAACTAGAACCACCCTCATAGTTCCTGGGAGTTTCCATGGCATTAGGTATAGCTGGTGGTTTCTCTCTAGGTCCTGCCAAGCCCCCTTAGTCCCATAGCCCACTTATAAAATAAAAACACAGACACTTATATTATTTAAACTGATTGGCCTAATGGCTCAGGCTTCTGTTCTTATATCTTATATCTTAAATTAACCCATATCTATTAGTCTATAAGTTGCCACATGGCTCGTGGCTTACCAGTACCTTACACTTTTCATGGCAGCAGCTGGCAGTGTCTCTCTGCCTCAGCCTTCTACTTCCCAGAATTCTCTCTCCTTGTCCCGCCTATTCTTCCTGCCTGGCTACTGACCAATCAGTGTTTTATTTATTAACCAATGAGAGCAACACATTTAATATACAGAACATCCCACATCAGTTAGGTTTCTAGCTCATTCCAGGGATGCCTCTTATTCCATTTTTCTCTCCAAGTACTCTCTTCCTCCATCTTCCCCCAACCTGATCCCTCCTGTTCCCATGCATGTACTCCCATCCAGACCCTGCCCCCATCCACCTGTGATATCTATTCTAATTACCCTTCACATTAAGACCCATATGTCCCTTCTTGAGCCTTCTTTGTTACTTGGTTTCTTTGGATCTGTGGTTTGTAGCATGGTTATCCTTTACTTTATGATTAATACTCACTTGTAAGTGAGTACATAACCTGTTTGTCTTTCTTGGTCTGTGTTACCTCACTCAGGATGATCTTTTCTAGCTCTATCCATTTGCTAGAAAATATCATGTTGTTATTTTTTTTAACAGCTGAGTAATACTCTCTTGTGTAAATGTACCACATTTTCTTTATCCATTTTTTTTTTTTTTATAGAAGGGCATCTAGGGAATAACCGACCAATGACTGGTACAACTTGAGACCCATATCATGATAAGGAGTCTACCCCTGATACTTCCTAGAAGTCCCAGACCCGGGGAGCTAGACAATCCAGAGACTTAGGTTATAACCAAAGAGTAGGCAGAACCTAGGGAATCCTGTGGAAGGGGGGAGAAAGGATTGAGGGAGTCAATTGGGTCAAGGACACCACAAAATAACCCCACAAAACTAACTAGCTGGCACATAGGGACTCACAGAGACTGAACTGCCAACCAGAACCCTTGTGTGGAACTGACCTAGGCCCTCTGCACATATGTTACAGTTGTCTAACTTGGTTTCTTGTGGAACTCCTAACAGCGGGACCATGGGATTTTTCTGACTGTTACTTGCTTGTGGGACCCTTTCCTCCTGCTGGGACCCTTTTTTTCCAATCTTAACAGGAGAGGAGGTTCCTAGTCTTACTTCAACTTGATAGTCCATATCTGTCTGATATACATGGAAGACCTGACTTTTTCTGAAGATAAAAGAGGAGAAGTGGGTGGGGGATAGGATTAGGAATAGGGAGGTTGGGGGAAGAGGACTTAGAGGAAAGGAGGGAGGAAGGGGAATTGTAATGGGACTGGGAAAAAATAACTAATTAATAAATTAACTAATTAAAATTAAAAAGAAAAGATCTTATCAGTACCTTGGCCTAAACACAAACTCAGTGTTTCTGCCTCAGCTTCCCGCATACTGGGATCATAGGTGTGCACCACAGAGTATGCATACCTTACATTTCATTCTTAAGAATTTTCTTTAAGAAAAATAGATCCAAATACTTCTGTATTAATATTGTCACATTGGAAAGAGGCTGTTTGACACTATTATGTTGAAAATACACCTTGGTGAATGACAAGACCACAGCATCCTTTTATTTGGAACATCTGTAGACACTTCTACATTGTTTTCTGCAGAGAATACTCATTGCTAATCTAGTGTTACTATTGTCTTTTCTTTTGCTCTTAGATGAGCTAAGATGTAAACCTGGTCTCACAAATGCTTCAGTTTGAAATTCAGTCCCCTAGCCTGTACATCCATCGGTATAGAGTGTCCTTTCTCTCAAATGATCCGGGAGTTTGGAACATTTTTTCCACTGAAAACAAGGTTCTCTTCATCATTTTTTTCTGGTATCTCTGTCTTCTTTCTAATTTAGTGACATGAAACCTTTATGTGGGTTTGGATGATCTTTCTGTTTCCTACCAATTAAAATTCTTTATTGTTAGTGCTTTTAAAACATTATTTGCAGATTTTTAGATTATTTGGGTAGTTTATCTTTCAGTGATGTCTTTCTGTTTTATTGCATGCCTGTTCCAATCACAGTATTATTTCTCTAATGATGCTGTTTGGTTTGTAATTTGTACCTTACTTTTATATCTAGCAAATTCACCTGGGTCTACTGTCCACGTATTTCCATCTTTACAGTGTTATTTTTTTAAAACATTTCTATTCATATATGTGTATAACTTTGGAACATTTGACGGCTTTCCTGAAGCATGTTGCTCTAGATTGGGCAATTTCTGTGTACTGATAGCATGTTATGTTTATTGCTATCATTTTTCCTGTGTATTTGATTTTCCCCAGCCCATCTTTCTCATATTGTTCATGCTTGCAGAGTCTTTATAAAAAATACTTCCCCATCACTTAACAGGAAGCATATTTCTCAACTTCTTAATTGTCTTATCTGAGATCTGCCTGATTTATTCCTTGTGACACCTATTTAGAGTTGGGATATGTTGTGAAAACTCACATTTTCTAGTCTTGGGGAATCATGGATCATGGAGTTGGATGAAACTTAGTCTTTTTGTTTGTTTGTTTTGTTTTGTTTTACAAATCACTGACACTGCTAAGATTTGTTAGCTAACATGACCTGCATTAAGATTAGCCTTGGGGAAAAAAAAAAAACATAAATATACATCACTGGGAGAGTTTACACTTTCCTACTGGGCCCTGCAGATGTGACAGGAATGTTTAGGCCTGAGTCTGAAAATAATGGAGTCAGCTTCATAATCTGCTAGCCACCCATTTCAAAAATGTTGTGTAAAAAGGTTTGTTGTAGGAACATACAATCCGTGTGCATCAGATCTGGTTACCTCCAAATTTGAATATTGTAAAAAGAATTCTCGTGATATTATTTCATCAGTAAATCTCATGATTAGGGGCAAGATTAAGCATCTGAGAACTTTCAATTTTGTGGCCACAGCCATATTGACTTACTTAGCAAGGTTTCTTAGTGTTGTTGTTATTATTATTATTATCTGTGAATTTTTGTTATTGTTGTTTTATTCTGTATGTTTGAATCTGTTTGCATTTTGTCATGTCTTGCCTAAGAGTATAAGACCTTCAGTCCCTTCTTTCTAAATCAGTCTTTGCAACAGTCTTGAGATATAATACCTATATTGTATCTCTCTGACATTATTAGGTAATTTATCCAGCATAGTATGATTGATAACTGACTGTTAAAATTGAAGCTTTTAATTGTCTATACTACTATTCCAAAGCTGAATATACTGAAAATAAAGCTTAAAATCTCTATTGAAAGAATTATTTTACTTGGGTGGAAATATTTTAGATGTTAGATGGGAGAATAATAAGTGGATCATAAAGAAAGAATATGAATATTTTTATTTATTTTTATATCTTCTCTTAAAGTAGATAGAGATTTGCAAAATAGATCCAACTTTCTAGACTTCAATTTCTTCACATAAAAATAACAATAATGGCAGCAGTGATGATGTTGGTGGCAGTGAATACTATCATAGCTCCTTGACTCTCCATTTGGTTATAACCAGTGTGATATGACACAATTTATAAGAAGAATCACATTAAATTTCAAAATAATCATAACTAACAAAATCATGGATGTTTCTCATACCTGCTAAGGCTGTTGTGATTCTAGGTTGTCTGTTTTTACACACTGGTTCTACTGTCTTTCCAAATTGAGAAGTTTGCCTTAAATGGTGGGACTTTGATTCTCTGGCACTACATGTATGGACTGAACATCCTACAAATAAGTCCTAATGCCAAGTTTATGCTTCATAGTGTATATTTTCATACAAAAACAAATACAGTCTTCTACCCTGTGCAGTGGTTCTTCTTCTGCCTTTCCTCCTTGTCTTTCGCGCACAATATTTCTGTCCATTACACTGATGTAGGGCTAAATAAGGAAAACATCCAGTCACGTTAAATGTGAGAGCAGGGATTCTAGAAGCCCAGTACCACTGGATGTTGTAGCCCCTGAGGGGTAATAAATGGGCTGATGCAGGGAAGAATAAGGGCAGCAGTGGGCCAGAATGAGATGCACTGGACTGACTGATACTGATTACATGGAGAAAGAAAAGACAATAATTGAATAAATTCAGATTCTCAACTTTGATTTAGAAAGGTTTTACTTGAAAAAAAATGGTTAAATGGAGTAAAGGATTAGATGAGTAAGTCATGTTAATTACTTAATTCTGTTGTTTTTATTGTGATGGTGTAGAGTTTTCTTTGTTTATAGGAAGTAAAAACTACTAAATTTGCCATGAAAGGGGTTCAGTTCACAAAATTAATCTACACAGTTCAGAAAACTATCATTTAAAAAAGACTTTATTGCATTCATTTTTAATGATTATGTTTGTTGGAGTACAAAGGGCAGAGGACAACTTTCAGGAGTTTGTTCCTGCTTCCCTTCTTGACAAGGCAGTCTAGTGCAGTTGCTGGTGCTGCAGCTGCACAAGCTGGTAGAGCTTGTACTGCATGTGACTTTCACATGGGTTCTGGGACTCCAACTTGGATCATCAACCTTGTGAAGTTTATACATTTACTTGCTGAACTATCTCATCAGGACAGAAAAAAATCAATATTTATATCATTCTTGAAGAATTTTCTCTATGGTCTAGCTTGTAACATAACATTTTCTAATGTGTGTAGAGATGAGATTTAATATAGGTATGCTGTCAACCAGAGGCAAATATCTCAGTGGATATTCTCTTTTCTATCTCCAGGTGAGGGTCATTTCAGCCGTCCAGTTTTTATTCAGGAGCCAAAAGATGTCATTTTTCCTTTGGATTTATCCAGATCTGAAATCATTCTGACTTGTACTGCAAATGGTTACCCTTCACCCCGCTACAGGTAAAGCTACTTCTTGGTACCACCGTTGCCCGCTTTGTGGTTGCTATAAAATTGACACACAATAAGGATTCTCAGAAATACTTTACATATTCAGAGTAGACCTCAAGGTGTTTTCCCACTGCTATTAAGCTTTGTCTACGCAAATCATATAAGCATATATACACATTCTGAACCCCAGTGCATTCCTTCATGCTGAATTCTCATCATCATTTCCAAGTAATCACTACTATATATCTGTTGCTTATTTCTTGAGATTAATGGAAAGCAGAGTCATATATACTTAGAACTGAGAAAGAAAGCAAAGATAACATAGAATAAAAGAAGAAAGAAGTGCAGGAAAATAGAAATTGGCAAGAGAAAGAAAGATTTGGTTTCATAACTTGAAAAAGTTCTAGCTTATTTTGCATTCAGCATACATCTACTTCAGTTTAAGGGCACTGCCTCAGTTTCCCCATATACAATAGCTATGAAAATGGCCTTCTGTAAAAAAATAATCAAAGGAAAATCTTCAACTTATTTCATGAGATCAAATTCTAAAACTTTCCCACAGTTCCCATTGTGCCAAAAATATTAATTGTGGAAAAACTCTGTTGAAAGCAATTTTGTGCATTCTAAGGCCAAGAGAGTATTTTTATTACTGGGAAAACATGTTTGTTGCTCATACAGAATATTATTTTCAAAGTCTTCATTAGTATGTTGTTTCAAATTGTTCTGGCTTTTCTCACATTTGTCCACCTAAAGAGAACATATGAGAAGTAGGTGGAGTCTTTCCTGGGATCTTTGCAACATACAATATACAAGCTTAAATTAAAATTTTAACAAAAGCATTCAAAAATAGTTTTCTGCTCAGACATCCTTCAGTCTTCCAATCACTACAAAGAAATAAAATAAAGGGCAGCTTGAGAGGAAGGATGATTTTTTTTTTCTTATTTAAACAGTTGCAGTGTGGGTAGAATTCAAAGATCTATAAATGTGTGTATATAAGTTGCATTTTTAAATGAAATCTTTGTTGGTAAGAGCTATGTGTGGTGATACTATGTTCCCCAAATATTGTGCACCCTAATAAACTTATCTGGGGTCAGAGAACAGAACAGCCACTAGATATAGAGGCCAGAAAATGGTGGCACACATGCCTTTAATCCTATCACTTGGGAGGCAGAGATCCATCTGGATCTCTGAGTTTAAAGCTACACTGGAAACAGCCAGGCATGGTGACTCACACCTTTAATCCCAGGAAGTGAGCCTTTAATCCCAGGGAGTGATGGCAGAAAGCAGAAAGGTATATAAGGCATGAGGACCAGGAACTAGGGCTGGTTAAGCTTTTAGGCTTTGAGCAGCACAGTTCAGCTGAGATCCCTTTGGATGAGGACTCAGAAGCTTCCAGTCTGAGGAAACAGGATCAGCTGAGGAATTAGCAAGGTTTGGTGGCTGTGGTTTGTTCTGCTTCCCTGATCTTCCAGCATTCGCCACAATACCTGGCTCCAGGTTTGTTTTTATTAATAAGACCTTTTAAGATTCAAGCTACAGCTCTGTGCAATGTGAATAGAAGAAGAAAAATAGTAAACATCAGAGTGACAGTTGGTCAGTTGGTGATTTGAATTTTAAAAGCATTTCCACAAAGTTTTAATTTTTAGACATAAAATTGGATTGACATACAGAAAAAGCAACAATTAAGTCAATTTTAGCAAACTGGGTTGGCTTTGCACATTGTAATAAAATACAGCTTCCATCTATATATGATTACTAGAGTAATGGGTCACATATTTAAATTGACAAAGCCAAAGCCATCTGTGTATTATCTCTTATTTAGCTTATATTTTGTAGAATAAATTCCTTATCTTATATCCATAACTAAACAGTTTAAAAGCTAAATCTTTTTCTTAATAAATTCTTAACCCAATTCAAGTCAATTGATTGAGAGAGACCAATCACTTTACTAATTGTTTTACTCAAATTGAGTATTTTTCCTATTTATTTTTCTGCTAAAAGAAAAGCAAAATTTTCTTAAGGCTGGTGAGATGGCTCAGCCCTGGAGAGTATTTGCTGCTCTGGTAAAGGACGGGGGTTTGATATGCAGCATCCACACAGTGCTCACAACAGTCTGTAACACCAGTTTCAAGAGATCTAACACCATTTCTGGCCTCTGCTCACACTGCAAGTACAGGGTTTACAGACATACATGTAGGACAACCACCCTTACACGTAAAGTAGAACATTTTAGAAAAGGGTATTACTTCATTTTACCTTAAATTAACTTAATTTAAAATGGACTATATGAAATATGATTAATACGTACTTTTAGGATCGCGATTTTTGAAATTATACTTTTGGCATTTAAAAGCTAATTCAGTTGATCAAAGATATAGGTAAGATTTCTCAGAGGGAGGGTATCCAAATGCCTATATGTTTTTAAATTTGTAAAATACAACCTAAGTAAAGTGAATTTAAAATGTTTATATTTTTGCAGTATGTATAAAAGTATAAACTACTGGTTATAAAGACAGTTTTTCTGTTAGTGCAACAATGAAGACATAAATAAAGAATATGGGTAGGAATTCTAACAGTGCTAAATGGCTTATGTTCCTCAGATATTTGTAAACTAGAAAACTAAAAACAATTTAGCTTCTTATTTCTAATCTTTATACAGTGCTTAAACATATTCCTCTATTTACACGATAAGAAACTCATAGGCAAGAGACATTGGAGTGGGAAAAGAATTAAATTTTAATGCCTAAATATCAGACTCAGATCCAATTTCCTCGATAACATAGCACATTACATTCTAGCAGTGCAGTGTAAAATTTTAGTATCCATGTTGCCATTTCTGCTTACATTTTTTTTTACAATTTACTAATCACCATATTAAACATAGATTATTTGGTAGAGTGTACACTGGAGAAAATGTCTTTATTATTGCAGTTTCCAAGGTTATACAGGGATTTTTAGGCAAAATGAGAAGCAGTACATTAGAGCCTCCCACTTAAGAATTATTTTTTGTAGTGGCAACTCTGTACTACAAATAACTCTTGGAGGATCATTTCTCTTTTTAGTAACTACTACTTCCTCCTGGAATGACAGTGTCCTTTCCTGTATAGTATTTTTTTAATAGAAAGAAAACTTCAGGGGAATCTGTTGCTTTAAAATTTTTGTTTTGTTGTTCTAATCAGGATCATAGCACCAAATTTATTCTATTTTTTTTGTTCCCCAAATGTATTGTTATATTGTTTTTTCTGTGGAGGACAAAAAGCTATTTATATTATTTTTGTTGTTGTTCTGTAAATTCAGTATAGTAAACTGATTCTCATGGGAGGAAATAGCAATCTTAAAAGTAGATCTTTGGAGATAGCTAAGAAAAATTTGAGCTAAATCATATTCAGTGAAATAAATGCTGTTATAAACAGTTGCACAATTAAAGTCAAAAGCAAGGAAGAATTGCTTGTACAGTTTCAAAGCCCAAGGAACACATGAGGTGATAAAACTGAGTAAGGGAGCCTTGCAAAGGGAAAAGAGAGTGGGCTACTCAAAGCCAGTGGTGGGAGAGAATTGATAAAATTAGATTACAAGAGGAAATCAGTTATCAGAGAACTTAATTCCAAATGCTCTTTTTGAAAAAAGAGATTACCGGCCGGGCGGTGGTGGCCCACGCCTTTAATCCCAGCACTCGGGAGGCAGAGCCAGTTCAAGGCCAGCCTGGACTACCAAGTGAGTTCTAGGAAAGGCGCAAAGCTACACAGAAAAACCCTGTCTCGAAAAACGAAAAAAAAAAAAAAAAAGAGAGATTACCACATACATTATTTCTGTGTATCATATACTTTCTCTCAGACAGAAAGAAGTGGGAATACCAGTGATGACTTCTGACAAATCTGTTTATAAACTACTTATAACCAGGAGAGAATCAACCCACTCATTGTTAGTCTCTCCTAGAAAATAAGAAAGTCAGTAAAGTCTCAGGAGATGTCATTGTCTTCTTATACATTTCTGCACTTTGTGTTAAAGACTTCCTGTGATCAAGCCTGGTATACACTGTGGAAGTTTTATAGTGGACAGACATGAGGATGGGAGGATGGACAGGACGGCAATGCCAAAGCAGACAAGAGGACTCTTTCCATGGAGGCAACAGGTTCAATGTATTCTGTAATAGCAGCAGCAGCAAACAAACTTAGAATGTAGATTTTAGTGTTTTCCTCCAGTGGTCTGGGCCTGGGCTCAAATGTAGGTGCCTGTAAGAAACACTTAAGACAGAGACCAGATTTGTTAGACATTACACACAAAGACATGCATGGATATGCACATTACCAAAGGACAGCAAATAGAATTCCCAGCCATATTGTCTAGTCACATCTCAACTACTTAATTGTGAAAGATATTCCTTAGTAAAAGGATCATATTCTAGTTCAAATTCACCACATCTCCTAGAACTAATGTGTTAGTTCACACGCATAAAATATTCATTCAACACACATTTTCTAGTTTGTATCATAGGAAAATTCGCTTGGATATGTAATAATGCTATCAGTAAAGTATGTCTGACAGTCACTTTAATGAAGTAAAACTATTTCTCCATTTATTTAAGCATATTAATTAGGACAAAGCCCAAACCCAGAGCTGAACTCCTGATCTATATGCACAGTTTAATAATCATTGTACCATAGTGATTAGAATGATTACAGGGCTACTGTGAAAAATTCATTTGCTGCAGCTAAGCCAACAACTTTGAATTTGTGTTGAAAAACAATTACTGGGCTTAATTAGGAGCATGTAATGATGACAGCAGTTATTTCAGTGATTGATTCCAAAATTAAAGAGAGCTGGCAAACTAAGTGTGGTATACCATTCTCTTTGAAAATGATAGAGAACACGGAGGTATGAGACCATGCCCTGTAAGTGAATTATGAAAGACAGGTTTACAGTGAGAGCAAGGGGAATATTGGCAACTTGAGACAGGCCAGCAGGAACAAGTTTTCTGCTTTTTGTGTCCTAGGAGCACAGACAAGAAGCAATATATAATACTTTCTATTGAAAATGTGGTGGGAAACCCAAGCTGTATAGATGAACTCTTGATGGCTGTTGTTCATCTTCATTTTATTAAAAATAAGTTGACATGTACAGGAGGTGGGCAAGTCATTTTAAAGTTGACAGGATTGGTTCAAATCCTCTGATTGATTTCATATTTGAGCCATCACTTTATATCTTTAATAGTATGAAGGAGTACCCAAGTTTGTATTTCTTTTCTATTTTAGTAGACATCAGTCAGATTTTCTCCAGTGAATATGCCACAATGCTCCCCCCCAAAAATCAATGGTATTCAAAATAACTTTGGAGAATGCCATTCCTTTCTCATAATTACCCACGCTAACAAAATATTTTAAGTAATTTCACTATGAATAGAAGAATCACAGCAAGGCAGGCATATGCCCTAAAATATGGTTTGAAAATTGTATACATTATGTAGGGAGAGGCCATTTACTGGTAGGCTCAGGACAAATTACCCTAAAGCGGTGGTTCTCAACCTGTGGGGTACACCCCATTTTGGAAGGACCCTTTCACGATGGGTAGTGGGGTTGACTATCAGAAAACAGATTTTTACATTACGATTTGTAATAGTAGAAAAATTAGAGTTATGAAGTAGCACAAAAATAATTTTATGATTGGGGGTCACCACAACATGAGGAACTGTACTAAAGGGTAGCTGCATTAGGAAGGTTGAGAACCACTGCCCTAATGCCTGGAAACAATAACAGAAGCAGAAGGTCTTTCACATCTCCCACCTTACCCTTCTATTTTTAAGCTAAAGATATAGTTTTCATTTCAGAGGTCACTTCCTAGGGACTCTAAGCAAAAGAACCTACTTTTTCCTTGAGAACCACAATCATCAATGAAAACACAAACAGTCAGTCCCTGTGAGTTTTCACTAACTGTGAACATCAGTTCTTACTTGCTGTCCTTTATATCCTGACAATAGGACACTCCTTGTGAATTCTACCACTAAATATACAGATCTGTCTGTGACTGGGGGTATTGTTTCTGAAAACCCTAATGTCATGAAAAAGCTGTATTGAAAGACTGCGTGTGTGCTAATACACAATTTTAAACCCACAACCATGACCCTGACAATGAATGAAGTGGAGTTTTTGCTTTTTTTGTCTCTGTATTCCTTCCACCTATACAAGTATGAGTTATAATTCATTAATTTTAAATGCTTATTTCCATAAATGCTTTATATGACTACATATAACTTATAACTTTGAGATATACCTCATTAATGTGCAATGTTTATAATTTAAAATAAGAAGTTGGGAGGTTTCCAATTCGAGAAGTGAATCTAATAAGAGGAGTTGAGTGCATATTTACTGATCTTGAAATGGCCACATCAAGTCTTCTAAAGCTCGTTATGCTTTCTTTCAAACAGTGCTAATGCCCTTTTATAGTTAGATAATTCTTGCACTGAAGGACTGTTGACTAATAGCTAAGCTGAGAGACTTTTGGCTTCAAAAACATTCTCAAGCTGTATTTGTTTTGTTAGCATATAATTTTTAGGTTGGTTTTCCTAAGTGCCATTGAAATATTTTCAATGTGATTAATTTTCCAAGTAGCAGACTCACAAAGACAATCACATTTTGACGCTGTCGGGTTATTATTGTTGTGTTATCGGCTTTGAATGGGTATTGTCAGACCCTTGCTGGCATTCTTTGTCCTGGATGTAATGTAACCTTCTTGGGTTTCTGTCTCTAAATCATTTCTGACATTCTGTTTTGTAGTGTCAATTGTGGGGATTCAGGTACAGTATACATTATTCGAAAAGTCTCTAAAGAAATAGAAGTCAGAATTGTTGACAGATGTCTAATTTTTATTTCTCATGCTAATTGTTCTGATGCCTTTCCGGTTTCATGTGAGTGAGTCTTTGTAACTTAGGAAGGGTAAAGAGCTTCCAAACAACCTATCAGTTGGTAGCCCTGGCCCCAGAACAGTTGTGTTTGCCAAGTGGTAGCGTAGCCCTCTAGGCTCAGCTTATGGTTGAGTAATACAAGAGGATAGTAAGTTCCAAGTCAGGAAGGGCTTCAGAGTTTGTTTGGTGTCAGCTGGGGCAACTTGGTGAGAACGTGTCTGAGGATTAAAAAAAAAAAAAAATTAAAATGAGTCTGTAAATGTTGCCCAGTGGTGCAGCACATGGGTAGAGTGTGTGAGGTAGGTCCTCGTTCAAACTCCAGTACCACAAACAAAAACAGAACACTCTTACCTTTAATAAAACTACAGACATCACCCCACAGGTGATCATGTATTTTGTTTTGTTTTTGTTTATTTTTAAGCTTATAGGAATTCACACAGTGTGAATTTTATGATAAATAGCATTCCGTTCTTTATATTACATATGTAATTTTGTTTCTTTTTTATCCATGAAGGTGGAAACAAAATGGCACAGATATTGACTTCAGCATGACTTATCACTATAGGTTGGATGGAGGCAGTTTGGCTATCAGCAGCCCCCGCACAGATCAAGATATTGGCACCTACCAGTGTCTGGCCACCAATCCTGTGGGCACTATTCTGAGTAGGAAAGCAAAACTCCAGTTTGCATGTAAGTTTGTGGGAAAATTCCATACTGAATATGTCCTGGAAAAGAGTCTGGTGATGTATCTATATTGGGCCAAAAAGGTGGTTTTTTTCAGTTACCTGCTCTTTGAAATCAAATGGAATTTTATGTGCATAAAAAGTTTTTCTCGCGCATTTTGTAATTCCTGAGGATAATGGAAATCTGTTACTTTTTTAGGTAGAAAATATTTTTGGAATTATATATTGTGAAATATTCTTAGAAACATCTCTAAAAGTGCCACATATCAATATTAAGATCATGCATATAATATTGCTGCCCTTTCATTTTTTCCTTTTAAGTAAGGTATTCGTGTGAATAGTACAGGAAAGCAACCTCAAGGCAGTGGTGTCATGTGGGGCAGGCGGGTGTTTCTCTAGGAACAGCGATCATACACCCACAGTGAGATGTAGGTGGAAATAAAGTGGTTGCCACAGGCAGGCTTTATATTAACTGTAACAATGTCCAGCTGCATCACATAAATGCCATCCAAGTAATTACCTTTGTGACATTTGGGGACATTAGCAGATGAACAATAGACACTGCTTCTTATATCCTTTATATATAGTGTTCCCAGGGACTAAAATGCTTCATATTGGATTCAGTGAAAGCCTTGTTTGAGAGTAATTATATCTCACAATGTGGACAAAGTAGAAGGCTTGCATTTCTCCCTTGTCTGACTCCCCAAGCTCTAGATAAGCCAGGGAACCAGAATGTCAGTTGTTTCTGTTTGGGGGCTCATGGAAATGTCTGTGCTTTCTATAACTTTCAAAAACCAAATTTTTAGATTTTGATTAAAAATATGTGTCTCATCCCACCCTGCAAAAGTGCTTTAGTCACGTGCATTATGGTCTCAAGTCTGTTCTGCACCAGCGATCTCATGATCTACACAGGGTACAGGGAGGATCAGTGTTTGGGAGACAGCCTTGCTTTAGTTTTATACATTACGTGCCTATGCATATAATCAATAATCACTGGAGCTGATTTTTGCATTCTGTCTTGGAGAGTTACTTGAAAATATAGTAGGGAGGAAAATATAGACACATATCCCACAGAAATGTGCAGTTATTAGAGCCTAACGGATTTGTTTGGAAAGTGGACATCCCCAGAACACTGCAATCAGGTTATACACTGACAGATTCCAAAGGTAATTCCATACAACATAGAATATTTATTTGTAATGTTCCTGACTTTCTGTTGAGTCATCTTTCAAACATCTGGCCATGACATAGTGGTGTAGGCTTACAATGCCGTTACCTGAGTGCTGAGACTGTTTCAAAAAAGACAAACATGCAAATTAAATAAATCTTGAATGTCTACACCCGAAAGTACCACATTGTGATTTATATAGCTGCACATTTCTTCTTGCACTCTAAAAAGTACTTTTAAATTATCTCTATGATTTTAAGTTATCTTTTTTTGTTTAAAGAAATACATGCAATCTAAAACTTTTCCTAACTAAAATATATTTTATCTTTGTCAAAATGGAAAGGAAAAGTTGAAGTAAAAAGAAGTTAAATTATATACTTGCATGAGTGAGATGAAACAATTCTTTGACTACTCCTCATTCTTTATCCTTTGGTGGCCTAAAAGTTAATGGCTACTGTGCTTGTCACACAATCTTGAGGATCTGAGTTCAAACCTGAGCACCCCTATAAAAAAGCTAAGTGTCGTGACATAACCCTGTAATCTCAGTCCTGGGGAGGTGGAAACAAGATGATCTTTGAGGCTTACTGGCCTCCTCATCTAGTCTATTTGGTCTGCTCTGTGTTCCATAAGAGACCACGAGACAAAAGATAATTTGGGAAGTAAATGAGGAAGAAACCTGAAGTCAGTCTCCAGCCCTCACAAATATAAGCACACGCAGGAACACCATATATGCAAACACACATTTTCACTATCTATCCATGCCAAAAGTTGGTCTGCCTATATCCAGTAGTCGACCTTTGTTCTGTAAACTTAAATGATCGTAGGCACTAAGACTGACATTTTGAGAAGAGAGAAAAAGCCCAAGTATCTGCCCTTCCTGCATAGTACTTATACTGATGCTGCATCTGAAAGGCTTCCTATTGTATCCAGTGAAAGAGTTTCTAGAGTATAATACAGGAAAAGTAGTCTGGATGTATGCTGACCTGACCCAGTAGAAAGTTCCTGAACTTTATGACCAGTGTCTTCATTCTTGAGTGCTTCACCATCTCCTTCTTAAATTAACAATGATTGTTTGACTGAAAAGGTCGTTGGCTGAGTAACAATGTGGGTCAAATGCTGGAGCTTCAGATACAGTCATTCCCAAACTCAACTTGTATTTCTATCAAATATCCAACATAATGCAATTAGGTAAATTCTCACAATAACCCTCAGCTGAAAAATTTACAGATTAAAACATCCACCATCATTCACCATGAAGACAAAGATATGGATTACCTGGGATATGAGTGTGGGGGTTTTCATTCACATTGACACTTGAGAAATGACATATCCAATTCTCAATTGTATTCTTACTCTAAAAATTCATCCAAACATTATACACACACACACATACACACACACACATATATATATATATGTGCACGTATACATATACAATTACATATTTCTAATTGCTATTTCACATAGAAAACATTTCCAGTTGTTTGTTTGTTTGTTTGTTTGGGGGGGAGGAAAATATTTTTTTTTTGGTAATTACATAGAGTTCCTTTATTTCTATTGTTCAAACTAAGAAGATAATAGCATAGCTGAAATTTTAGCAGGAGAATTTGAGTCCAATTGACATCACAGAAAAAAAGTGATTTTGAAAATTAAGGACTCAACATATTTGTTAAAATATAAGTTAGAACATAAGATTATTGGTCCAATATATTAAAGAATTTCAGACTAAGGTGACAACATGATGTTTATATCACAGAGGAAGAGGAAAGTCATGTACTCCTTCTCAAGCCCTAAAATCTTACACAAAACAGTGACTTCAAAGTACAGTCTTCTGTGACCACACCACAGGGAGTCTTTCATCTGTGGTCCTTTTTCCTTCTTTCTTTCTTTCTTTCTTTCTTTCTTTCTTTCTTTCTTTCTTTCTTTCTTTCTTTCTTTCTTTCTTTCTTTTCTTTCTTTCTTGAGAAATTTTCTACTCACTCTACATACCACCCACAGATCTCCCCTCCTCCCACCCCCTAGCCCTCTTTCCCAAGCCACCCCACATCCCCATGTCTCCCAAATCAAGATCCCCCATGGGGAGTCAGCAGAGCCCAGCACACTGAACCTAGGCAGGTCCAAGCCCCTTCCCGCTGCACCAAGGCTGTGCAAGGCGTCACACCACAGGCACTGGATTCCCAAAAGGCTGCCCATGTACCAGGGATGGATCCCAATCCCCCTGCCTTGGTGCCCCCCAAACAGTTTGAGCCAAACAACCGTTTTCCTTATCCAGAGGGCCTAGTCCAGTCCCATGAGGGCTCCACAGCCACTAGTCTACAGTTCATGGGTTTCCTCTAATGTGGCCGATAATCTCTGCACGTCTTCTCAACATCTCCCTCCTGCAGAATCCCTCCTCTCTCTCATCGATTGGATTGGAGCTCAGACTGGTTTCTGGCCATGGTTCTCTGTATCTGCCTCCATCAGTCACTGGACAAAGGCTCTATAATGACAGTTAGGGTATTCGCTAGACCAGTCTCCAGAGTAGACCTGACCAGGCACCCTCTGGACCACTGCCAGCAGTCCAAGGTGGTGTCATCCTTGTGGATTCCTGAGAGCCTCCCCAGCACCCTGCCTCTTCCTATTCCCATGATGTCCTCATCTATCATGGTATCTCTCTCCTTGCCCTCCCACTCTGTCCCTGTTCCAACTGGACACTCCCATTTCCCCATGTTCTCATCCCCCACACCTCCCCCTCCATCACCCTCCCACCCACCCAGTCCGCTCATGTAGATCTCATCCACTTTTCCTTCTCTGGGTCATCCATGTGTTCCTCCCAGGATCTTTCCCTATTAGCTAGCCTCTCTGGAGCTGTGAGTTGCAGTCTGGCCATCCCTTCCCTCACATCTAGTATCCACTCCTGAGTGAGTACATACTATGTTTGTCCTTCTAAGTCTGGGTTACCTCACTCAGGATAATATTTTCTAGCTCCATCCATTTGCTGGCAAATTTCATGATATCATTGTTCTTTACTGCTGAATAGCACTCTATTGTGAATATGTGGCACATTTTCTTTATCCATTCTTCACTTGAGGGGGCATCTAGGTTGTTTCCAGGTTCTTGCTATTACGAATAATGCTGATATGAACATAGTTGAGCATGTGTCCTTGTGGTAAGATTGAGCATTCCTTGCTCTTCCAGTTTATATCTAAAGTTTCTTCTTATATTTCAAATGTAGTTAGTGTTTTTATTTGCATACATCAATTAAATAACGATTTGTAATTTGAGATTCATATATATATATATATATATAATGCATTTTGAACATATTTATTTCTCCATTCCTCTATTTTATCCTCCTATATTCCTGTTACTCCCCTTTCAGTTCCAACTAGTCCCCCACATGTTTTAATATCATTGTTTATAACATAATCAGTTTCATTAGATTGCTTACATAAGCATAAATGATGGCTTATTTATAAAGCATGGGCAACTCACCAGTAGCTGTGCAGCTGAGGCAAATGGCCCTCCTTCCTTATCAGCCACCGATTGCCTATAAAGCTACAGGGAACTGTGGGTCTGTGAAGTGCCCAGTCTTGTCCAAGTCTTGCTTAGGAAATCCTAGCTAATAAGAGTTCAAGAGTTCAGAAGCCAGAAGTTCCAGAATTCAACAGCCAGAAAACAGTATTACACAATTCTCTACCTCTTTCCCTGGCTCTTACACTCTGTGACCTCTTTTCTGTCATGTTTCCTGAGCCTTGAAGGGCATGTGATACAAGGTGTCTCATGCATGGCTGCCAATTCAACAGTCGCTTAATTCTCAACACTTTTACCAGCTGTAAGTCTTTACACTGACCACTGTC